CGAGCCTGGGCCGCCGCAGCCAATCGCGCGGCGCGGCGTGGGGGCGTGGCGCGCGCGCGGGAAGGGCGGCGCCCCCGTGGACTTGGCCGGCTGAATGTTTCTTTAGGCTGCTCCCACCCGTGGTTTTAGGTGCAGCGGGGGGGTACGGAGGTGTGAGACGCACTCATTCTTAGTGCTTAATGCTGTATTGTTCTTTAGCCTTCTTACGTTCGTGTTGTGTGTGACTTAGCCCTGAATAAACATGGCCTTTCCCTGTAACTCTATATTCTGTAGAAATAAAAGGAGAAAATACTTCTATGGCGTCCATCTCTTCCTGTGAAAAAGCTTACACACACAGTTGAAACCCACAATTTATTTAATATTAATTAATCCAAGTGTGTTAGCTCTGCTTGAAGTGTTTGTGGTCCCTGTTTGAGTCCTTCCCCTAATCTGTAATGATTATAAGCTTTTATTATTATTATTATAAGATGTGCTTTTTGTAGTTTTGTGCTCAACAACTTTGCTGATGTCAGCTTGTCTTTGTGGAAGCATTACTAATAATAATAAAAACCTATCTCAGAGAAGAAACTTGCTTGGCAATTCTGGGATTCAAGACGTGTGGCCATGGAAACTAAAATATATTTTTACTTTTAAATAAGATTGTCTTTCTGATGTGAATTGAGAGAGGCATCCTGGGTATCCTCTGTTTTGTGGCAGCTTGATTTAATTATCCTCTTGTGCTTCTGGGTTTGGGATCCAGGAAATCTGGCAAGGGAGTTTTAGAAGTATTCCAGGGAAAAGAAGGATGGCGTGTTGATAGGATTTAATGTCAGTCTTTCCTCTCCTCTTTTTTTTTTTTTTCTCCCCCCCCCAGCTTAGGCAGACCATGACAAAGTTCTGTCAGGAGCATTTGGCTCCAAAGGCCCAACAAATTGATCAGGAGAATGAATTCAAAGACATGCGGGTAAGTGTTTCCTGTGTGCATTCGAAATGTCTGTCTGTGCTTTGGGCTGTCCCTCCGTCCAGAGAAGGAATCCTAGCCCACGCCATGGGAACGTGATCCTCAGCTTTTCAAACTGGAAAGGCATAAAGTAAACGTTAATGGAATAAAAACAAGGAATCCAAAAGTCATCAAGGCAGTAGCACTGCATGCCTCAGGAGCTGCATTTCCTTCCCCCAAGCAAACATTCCTTTCTGTATCTCTCCAAAGATGTTGCCTCAGCTTTAGTTTATCTTGCTCCTCTTTTACTGGAGGAGTCATAAATCACCTAGGGCTCATGACTCTTCCCAGTATTTCCAGGAATTTGGTCATGGATCACTCAGGTTATCTGCTCTGCCTGGCAATCACAGGCTAATAGGCCTACACAGCGCTGCGGAAGCCCTAGGTACAGGTGATGTGACAAGGATGGGGCACGTAAAGGCCTGCATAAATGTCTGGAACCACGGGATCCTAATTGCTCTTTAGCAAGAGATATGTTTCTTTTTTTATGTTAATGGCCTTAATTCACTGCCCAGTCAAGGACCTGTCTCTGCAAAATGAGATTTAGCCCTGTGAATCATCTCACTGAAGTGAACAGGCAGTGTCATGAGTGTCCTTAAGTGCTGTGGGATGCAAGTCCAGAGGATGGAGATGCTGCTGTGGGAGGAATCCGTGTGTTTATCCCCGAGCTCTCCCTGTGTCCAGGGAGTTACCTGGGGAGGCTCCCCGTGTATGGACATGATGTTCTGCTGCCCTGACTGCAGCTCTGGACTGATGGCTTGTTCTCTGCCCCTAGGCATTTTGGAAGAAACTTGGGGAACTGGGAGTTTTGGGGATCACAGCTCCTGGTAAGTCTGTTACCACTTTCTGTTCTACTAAAAACTCTCTAGTTTGGAGTAGAGAGAGAGGAGATGTCAAAGTGCCTTGCAGATGCAGATGGGAGGCTAAATGAGTACTGAAAGGCTGTACCTGTAAAGCATTCATACTGATGACCACTAAGTGCTCCCAAATGACCTCTCTGATTAGCTTGCGGTGTCCTTCTGTTTTAGTTCCTTTCTTACCATTAAAACCACTTGCTGCTTGCCTGTGTAACCAAGCTTTGACTTCTGGATGTGTTTATCTGTGTGTGTTTATGTATAGACAGCTAGGTAATAGTGTGTATTTATTTCAGAGGGGTTCTTAGTCCAATCCAGGCCATTAGCGTTTCCCAGCCTTCTCTTTTCCTACCTCCTCTCTTCATACTCTATCCTGTTTTAATCTTAGCAACTGCCAGTTTTGGACTTAGCTCAGGGTGTCTCACTGGATTCCCAGTTATGATGCTTATGCTCCTCTATCTCACTCCATCCTATATCGAATTCCACATTCCTGCCGATGTTGGATGAGAGCAGTGTATTTGGGGGATCTTATCCGTTCCAAATTGTGCAAGAGAGAGCAGCATTTTGAGTGACAACCATTTGTGGATGTAGAGAAATCCCTAATGTCCCACATTTTGAGCTGGATGGTTTCTGAATTGTTTTGGGATGCTTATTATGACAAATTGCTTGGACTTCATGGATCTTGCTGCTCCTCCTTTGTCCCCTCACCTACTCCAGGTTGCCAGTACACTACTTGACCACTGCAAACGACTGCTAATTGACTATTGCTATTGACTGCTAAATGACTACAAATTGACTATTCCGCCATGGTTAACATGAAGCTTTTTGTTTGTTTTTCATAGCAAAATACGGTGGCTCTGCTATGGGGTATCTGGACCACGTGCTGGTGATGGAGGAGGTTTCTCGTGCGTCAGCAGCTGTTGGACTCAGTTACGGTGCCCACTCCAACCTTTGCATTAACCAGCTGGTGCGAAATGGCAATGAAGCACAGAAAGAGCAGTACTTACCCAAGGTACCTGACTGTAAGGGAAGGTGAAATTAGAAAGATCTTTTTTTTTGACACTGCATGAAGAAACACGTGGCCGGTGAGGAAGAATATAACCGCATTGCGACACTATGGGGTTTAGGAGACTAAAAGTATGAGAAAGTTCCCGGGATTTCCCAGTTTGCTGTTGCTGATCTCGACTGGCACTACATCTTTCTGTCTCAGAGCAGGTTTGTGTGCCTGTCGTCTGCATGTGCAGAACTGGGCTGGGATGAAACTTCTGCTGCAGGTTCAGTGCCACCCTCTTCCTTTTAATGTTAGCAGGGAAGCTCTTGTGGAGGTGAGGTTCTTATGTGCAGCTCAGGTGAGAGGAGTCAGTGTTATCACTGTATCTATCACACATTTCTCCCGTGGCATGAAAAGATTCTCAGAAAAAGAGAGGAGAGAGTTTTGCTTGGTTTCAAGTAGGTAGCAACAGAACAAGACACTGGAGAAGCTTTCTAGCCCAGCAAGGCAGCAGATTTGTGTCTCTTTCCTGTGCAGCTACATGCAAGGATGAGTTTGTCTTTCACAGCATGTAGCATTTTAAGAAACGGCTAGTCTCAATGCTACAACCTGGAGGAAATATTACACTGACCAATTTGCCCTTCCCCAGATTAATATGATTGCTTTTGTCCTGTTAATCTGTAGTTACATAGGTATGTGCAGAATGCAGAACGCAGAACTTGTTTGTCCTATATCAGCTTTTTTCAGGGTCAGTGCTTGTAGGCAATGTGATCCACTGGATAGAGTAGTAACCACGTTATTGGATTAAAATTAAACTGCATTCAGAGGGATTTGCGGCTTCCCCAAAGCGTTCTTGTGCAGTCTGGCACTACGTAACCTGGGATGTTGTAGCTGTTCCTCAGGTGTATTTTAACGTCCCCATTCCCTGGCTCTCAATATGAGACAGGCAGCTGTTTTAGTTTTTACTCATCGTGGCTCTTAAGAGAGTCCTTGGTGGTAAGCCAAAGACCTGCTGTTCTGTAGAGTGACACTACCTAGTTTTCAGCATGACATCAAGGCTTTTATTGAAATCCCCTGGTGGATGGAGTCGGATGTACGTGCATCTTACTTGGAGAAACCAGTTTAAATACTTAAGAGATCAGAAGGAGGAAAAGATGGGAGAAAGAACACAAGAGAGGGGAAAAAAGAAAAGGCAAGGATGAAAGGAGCAGAGAAGAAGAAGCAACAGTCAGACTCTGGCATGAGCAGGCACAGAAGGAGGGTGCCCATCTGCTCTTCTAGCACAAGGCTGGGGGGTTAGGTTGCTGGTAGCTCAGGCTGTCAGCACATTGCTAAGCACTTTGCAATCGCTTTTCATCTCCCTCATTGGCCTTCTGGGCCAAACCTCTGCAGTTTATTTAAAAGGGCAGTCGTAAAGTGCAGGGCAAGGAGTTTGGGGGAGGCATATGCCTGCTTGCATGGTTCTTTTGGCATTTTCATGGGGATAGATGAGTACAGCTCTGCCTTTAAAACCCTGAGGCACAAGTTGAGTCATCCAGCTCATCCCACTGCGATTTGGTTCTGTTCCCTCAGCACAGCAGCACGTGGGAGCATTCTGGGAACAAGGGATAGTCATCGCTTGCAGGTTAAGTTGAACAGCTAATAGTGAGAATCAGTGCAGAAAAAGACAGCCTGAAGAGGAAATGGAAATGCAACAGTGCTCTTTTCTTGCCCTTTCTTACATTTTTCTTTCTTTCCAGCTGATCAGTGGGGAGCACATTGGAGCATTAGCCATGAGTGAGCCCAATTCTGGATCGGATGTTGTCTCCATGAGGCTGAAGGCAGATAAAAAAGGTGAACGGTCTCCTATGCTACCTGATAGGTCACACCAGTGTTTCTGCTGGCCAGCATAAATAACATCTCCTCTAAATTTATATTAACCCTCCCAATACTCTGAACACTGTTCGATCTTGGTTATGTTTGAGCTGTGTTCCCAGAAATATGTGCTGTATCCCAGGAAAGTCCCAGCAAGACGGTGAAGCTGTGGGCTGGGTGGTTGGATGTACTGAAGTGGACGCACTTTTGGTCTCTCACTTATGGAGGTGGAAGGTAGCTGTATGGTAGAACTGGGGCCAGGTGCCTTAGTTTTTCAGGCATTCAGTAAACCCAATCTTGGGGGCCCCAGAAGGAAAGGAAAAGAGTTTTCTTGAGCTTGGGAAGGACTTTGTGTGTGCTGTTTGTGAAGTCCTGAAGACCGTCCTTGGAAGCCTGCTCTGAAGTAGCTTGGGTGAAAGCATAGATGGTGGTGTGTCATGAGCTCACGATTTGCCTCCCTCTCTGCTTCTAGGGGACTACTTTGTTTTGAATGGGAACAAATTTTGGATCACCAATGGACCGGATGCAGACGTGCTCATTGTTTATGCTAAAACTGACCTTAATGCTGTCCCAGCCTCCCGAGGTATAACTGCATTCATTGTGGAGAAGGTAGGTTCAGCGTATAATAGACCTCTCTATTTCACTCTCTTTTGGAGTTGCTTTACCCTTGCTCAAAGGCAAACTACCTCCTGCCTGAATTTTACAACCCTTGAGATTAGTCCCCTGCCCCAGTGCTGCAGCGTATTGCATTGGCATCTATGCACATAACTCGTCTTTTGGTCTAGAAATGTAAAGAAAATGGTATTTCCCAAAGTTGTCAGGGGCACTGGAGGCCTTGTGGATCTGCTGCACTATTCAGTTGTCTATTCTTGTGTTTTGTAAATAGCAGGGAGCTGTGATAGAAGAAATGATACTGCAAATGTGAAAAACTGATTGCAGTGAAAACCTTGTGATGGCCTTACCCAGCCTAGGAGCTAGGGCAGTTCAGCTGCTGGCCAAGGCTCGTAATCCATACCCCAGAGCCGTGCCAATATTGGCAACTGGCCAGATCATTATTTATTCACTCTTTATGTGCCTTAGAAAATGGACTCACTTGCCTGGTTAGCATGGTGCCCCGAGCTGTACATGTTTCCCTGCTCATTTGCTGTCTTTCCACTTGCACTTTGTTCCAATGGCAGGTAGTTCCCTTTGGCTCCCTTTCTGGTACACCATTTGTGCTTATGTGGTCAGGGAAATTTTTATAAGACTGTAATGATTTTATATAGCCTTTCAGAATGGAGAAGTTTGAAGTCTTTTTTTTTCCTGATTTTTTTTTCTTCTTCTTCTTGCAGGGAATGCCAGGTTTCAGCACATCCCAGAAGCTTGATAAGTTGGGCATGAGAGGGTCTAACACTTGTGAACTGATCTTTGAAGACTGCAAGATCCCGGGTGAGTTGTGCTCAAGTTAATAGCCATGTGCATGTGGTGGGTCTCTTCCTCATCAGGCAGACTGGATCACCACTTACATGCATGTTCAAACTGGCCTAGAGGCCCTTCCAGACAACGACCTGCTCTTTAGTAGCTGCACAGGAGAACTGTTCTTGCATATTTTGTTGCCTTCAGAGCTCCCCATTTGGTATACGGAAGAGTCTATTAGCCCTGATTCTAAAATCACTGGAGACTTCTGGTTTGGCTATAGTATTTTTGAATTCTCCTGAGATTAAGGCCTGAGAAAGGACATCACGTTTCCCCTTAGTTAGAACAGCAGGATGGTGGATGCGCCTTACAAGGGGGCAATGCTAATGGCTGCCTTTGTAGATGGAAATCTCAAAGCCCCCATATAGCAAAAGGAGGTGATCCCATATCTGAATTTCTGAAAATCGTAATTGAGAAATCTGCAAGCCAACTCTTCTGCTTCCCCTATTCTAACAAAAGTCACTTTGCAGCATGCAGAAGAGTTTCAGCTGAAATCTAACACTTTAAATTTTACTGGATTCCTCCACCCTGAAAGCAGAAGGGCCGGTGCCTGAGTCTTCAGATCATCTCCTGGGTGACCGCTCATACAGAACAGCCTGTTCTCGTGCTAATGGGGCACCTGTGAAAACTTGGAGAAGGGCATCAGGGCAGTGTTGAAAGTTAGCGTGCTTTGCGCTCTAGCCATGAATACAGCATCAGATCTTCTAGCTGAGGCTGAACCAGTCTAGCACCTTTTCATACATCAGCAAGCTCTTTGTCTTCTTGATCAAAATATCCTCTAGCACTACAAGCTTTTTTGTCAGAGAGCAGGGTTTCATCCTCCTTCCTCTTCCTAGCTCCCACATCACGCTGACAGTCCTGCAGAGCCTGCATTTCTCCACAGAACCTATCAACATACTCATCAATAAGCAGGAAATACAGCAGCCCTTGAGCTACAGATCGCTTGTGATCAAAGCCTGAAGCAGGGCTATTTTCCCTTTTTCCACAGGAATAGTACTTGTCTTTTAAACAAGTATTTATATTTATATTTGTATGTGTTTGTAACAACTGCTGCATGCTGCTCAGCCCCCTTCACAACAAGGGGGTTGCCTGCTGGTGTGTTTTCCATCTCGGAAGGTTTATCACCCCTACCTGTGATAAGTGGCGAGTTGTGACTGGTTGCCTGTAACTTTTGGCCTCTGTAATAGGAATGGCCAGAAAGGTGACCTGAGTGTATCCGACCAGGATTCATTCATTTCAAACAGACAGCTAGTAAATGTCATACGTCAACAACTTCTAGTCACTCTCAGTTTGAGGTAGGTAGAAGCTAATGGGAAGAGGCCTCCCACTCTCCTCCTAGGCTACTAAGTTCCCTGTTCTTCTTGATGCAAATGTTAAGCCTGGAGGATCTCTGGAGGGCATCTTCAGAAGACAGGCAATAGAATAGCAGTGGCTCTGAATGCAAGTTTTAACCCTTTACTGTCCTTTCATAGAATCACAGAATGCTTAAGGTTGGAAGGGACCTCTAGAGATCATCTAGTCCAACCCCACTGCACATGCAGGGTCACCTAGAGCACGTGGCACAGGACTGTATCCAAGTGGGTTTTGAAGATCTCCAGAGAAGGAGACCCCACAACCTCTCTGAGCAGTCTGTTCCAGTGCTCCGTCACCCTCACTGTTGAGATTTTTCGTTAAGTTCCTGTGGAACTTTTGATGCCTCAGTTTCTGGCCATTTCCTCTCGTTCTGTTGGTGGCCACCAGTGAAAAGAGGCCAGCACCATCCTCCTCACTGCCTCCCTTGAGGTACTTATAGACACTGCTCAGATCCCCTCTCAACCTTCTCTTCTCCAGGCTGAACAGGCCCAGCTCCCTCAGCCTCTCCTCATAGGGCAGATGTTCCAGGCCCCTGATCATCCTTGTGGCCCTGCGCTGGACTCTCTCCAGCAGCTCCACATCCCTCTTGTACTGTGGAGCCCAGAACTGGACACAATACTCCAGATGCGGCCTCACGAGGGCTGAGTAGAGGGGCAGGATCACCTCCCTCGACCTGCTGGAAATGCTCTTCTTAACGCGCCCCAGATCCCATTGGCCTTCTTGGCCACAAGGGCACACTGCTGCCTCATGGTCAACTTGTCGTCCACCACGACGCCCAGGTCCTTCTCTGCAGAGAGTCCTTTGACTGTCTGGAGTGGAAGGTATTTCAGGAGGAGGAGGAATGTGTGTCAACACCCAAAACCTGTCTCGCTCATCCTGAATGCTCATGTCTCAAGCCAGAAAGGAAGGCAAAAGTAACTGACAGTTTGAGAAGAAGAGCAGCTGTCTGAGGGCCTGTGTCCTCTGGGTAGAGGATTGAGTTTTGCACACAGATAAATTACTTTCCTTTGATTGCAGCTAAAAACGTCTTGGGGCAGCTGAGCAAAGGAGTCTACGTTCTGATGAGTGGCTTGGACCTGGAGAGGCTTGTGCTGTCTGGTGGGCCACTAGGGTAAGGGTTCTTCCATCTTTCCTAGATTTTGAAGGCCAGAGGAAATCCTCATGGTCACCAAAGGGCAGTGGGTCTCCAACTTGGGTTGTACCTCTTGAAGGGATCTCTTGGATGGAGGACTGAGTTGCTGGGCCAATGTGGAGAGCCAAGTAGAGCTGCGAGGAGGTGGCTGGGTCACAGTAGGGCCAAAGGAGATGATCAGCAGAGGAGGCAGGAGCAGGAAGGTCCCACAGCTCCTAAGTTGCTCAGCTGTGTTGTAGCTGCTCACGGTTGTGGTCATAATCCAATTGGCACCCCCAGGATCCTCCTTTTCCTATAGCCCTCCTCGCCTCCCTGTCACTCTTGCTGTTTTTTTCTCAGTTTGAGAGCATCTATATGGAACATAATCCGAGTGACCAGGGGTAGAGGACATGGTGCCAGACGGAAAACTTGAAAAATCCTGCCCTGCAGTGTAGCATAGTCTAAAACATTATCCAAGCTTTCATGTAGACGGACCGCTGGGTTTAGCAAAAGGATCGTTCTTCTTACGCAGTCTGTAAGCGCCTTAGCAGCACTTTTTACCTTACTGTCCTGTTGTTCCCCCAGGCAGTCTCTCTGTGCTAACCATTACGTGGAAAGACTTATCTTCCATAAAGCAGGAGAAGGATTTTTCACTACTGTTTTCATCTGCACTTTTTTTTTGTAGTATTAGCTAGTACTCCTTGAGTTGGTCTTCTCTGGAGATGCAAGGCAGCACAAAGTGTCCTAGCTACAGTTGTCAGAGAGCTCTTCAAACCTCCAGCTCAGTCCCCTGAAGTAAGAAGGTAAGACCTTACCACAAGAAGTGTCCCGAATAAGCAGGATGTAGAGCATAAGGCAGAAAACTGGGACCTTTACCTTTTATTTTTAGCGCTATTTGAGCATAACTGTAGGAAGGCAGTAGCATTCCCTCTCTAGGTGCCAGAGAACCTTTGTGTGTTAAATTGTGCTTCCAATATTTAATTATTGCTTTTCTGTTAATTGCCCTGTTTTCTTCATCCTCTTTTTCCCTTCCTGCATATCTGTGTTTTTCCTAGGCTCATGCAAGCTGTTCTTGATCATGCATTTCCATACCTCCATGTGAGAGAAGCATTTGGACAGAAAATTGGCCACTTCCAGGTGAGACAGAAAAGTGATTATAAATAATGTCTGGTTTTCTCTTAAGGCAAAAAAAAGAAAAAAAAGAAAAAAAATACTCTGAGAGGCCAAGTTGCTCTGTTATGGGAGAACTGGGGAAAGCTAGCTGAAGCTTCTGCCGGGGCTGTGTGATGTAGTGATGTGCTGAGAAGGTGACAGCATCCCTGTGAGCCTGTTTATCCGACGCCACCCGTTAGTGAGTGAAGACCAGGGAATGGGATGTTTCTGCTGGCCTTGATATCTGGGAGGAGTTCCTGAATCTGCAGGTCCTTTGGCTTCCTCCCGCTGTCCATCTCCTTTCAGTTGTCCACTTCCTACTCAGCACTGCGATCCCCAGCGCTCATGCAGAACGCAGTCTTCCTCCCTTTCTGACCCAGCAGAGTTTTAATACCCACAAAATGTCTCTTGTCCTCTGCTGCGGCGCGCAGCTCATGCAGGGCAAGATGGCAGACATGTACACCCGGCTCATGGCGTGTCGGCAGTACGTCTACAACGTGGCCAAGGCCTGCGACCGAGGCCACTTCAACGCCAAGGTGAGCTCGCTTCCACGCGGACCCTGTGTCCAGGAGTACCTTCAAGCGCAGCCCTGGGCTGAGCGGGGTGGAGGTGCTGTGGTATTTTCTCCTCCCATGCTGGGACGTGAGTCTGTGCCTCTGTGGTGAAGCAGCCAAAGAGTGTTGGCAGGTGTCTGCAGAGGGACGGGAAGGGCAGCACAATGTGGAGCTTGGAGAAAGGGCAGTTGATGCTTTTTCCTGACTCTCTCAGTGACTTTTGTGCCTCCATCAGGACTGTGCCGGGGTGATTCTCTACTCAGCAGAATGTGCTACCCAGGTGGCTCTGGATGGGATTCAGTGTCTTGGTAAGCTGCACTCACCGGCAGCATCTTCCTCCTTTGAGGAAGAGTCCAAGTGACAGCCGCAGAGAGCCAAACACAGCGCGAGGGTGCCCAAACTCAGAGATGTGACTTGTGGCGTCTTTTCGTTGGTAGGTGGGAACGGCTACATCAATGACTACCCCATGGGGCGATTCCTGCGTGATGCCAAGCTCTACGAGATTGGGGCAGGCACCAGTGAAGTGCGCAGGCTCATCATCGGACGGGCATTTAATGCTGCTTTTAAGTAACACGAACCAGTGGAGCGACAGCACCCTGACCACCATGAGGCCTTTGACTGTGGAGCTGGGACGCACAACTACTACTTCCTGCTTATGATCCTGGGACTGTGCACTTTTTTCCTGTCTGCCCTGTGAACAGATGCTGCTGGTTTGGGCTTTAAAGACAGAATGAATCAGACTCTAGGACAGAAGGAAAAATGTGGGGCTTTCCTCCGCCTTGTCTCATGAGCAGCCTGATTCATCCTGTTCATAAGCCATCCAGAGTCTCGGTGCTGCAGAGCTGAGGTTACCCCAGGGCCATCAGAGCAGCCTCTTGAACACTACGCCTGGAAGAGGAGGAAACCATTGCTGAGTATGGAAAGTCAATCCAAAACCAACAACAACAAAAAAAATAGGTTAGGGAGTCATTTTGCCCTCTTTAAAAACTCCAAGGGCCATTAAATAGCTCACATTTAGCATGCTCCTGCTTGGCAGAGGAATTTCCCATTGCGACATTCCAATGGGATTAATTGCTTCCATTTTGGGAAACCCAATGCCAGCTGAATTGTGGCAGGGGGGTAGCTATCAAGAACACTGAAGCGTCGTAGCCACACAAGTGTTTTAGGCCATGATTACTAAAACCTTATTAAAGTGCCGCTTCCCTTTCTCCGCACACTTCCTTTCCTATCCCAGGTAGCCCGGTGCAGCCTGAAGCTTTTCCTCTTCTGACTGGCTGCCTCCTACTGTCTTCTCCTTTCTGAAGTGTCGCATCCATCATCCTGGGCACAGTTGTACTGTGATGCCCAGGAGTGAGTCAGGCAGAAGGAGGTTGACTTTTGGGTTGGTATTTCTTTTTGTTTGTTTTGGGTTGTTTTTTTCAGGTTGTTCTTTTGGTTAAGTGTATTTACACTCCACATTCACTTGACTAGAGGGAGTCACAACAGGAATTGTGGATGTTTTTGGGGAATACTGAATACATCAAATTAAGGTGTATGTGGTATTATTAGGGGAAAATTGCAGCGTGTGCTGCCACCTCAGAGTGAATCATGAAAGAAGATGGGCTGTTGTAAACATGACAGAGGACTGAATTAAACAGCTACCATCTAGGCAACCTCCTGCTAATTTTAGCACAGAAAAGCTTAAAGCTTTGTGTGTTGTTTTTGGTTGTAGCTGACATCTATCTGCCCCAGGTGCCAGAAACTTAATGCTGAATTTTAAAATGCCACAGGCTGAAGGAAGATTTGGCTTCCTTGCATTGCCACCTGAGTCACTAAACATTTATTCAAAAGGCCACTAAAACTTGAGTGCCTCCAGGACTAGGAGCCCCTTCTAAAATCCTGGGGACGGTCCTTTCTTCTGAAATATCATGAACCTGCAGGATCTTGCAGGAGCCTCAGATCGTTTAAAAAGAGGTACGTTATGCTCTGGCTCACTCTGCTCACTCTGCTAAGATCCACTTGGTAGGGGAGCTGGGAGCGCAAAGAGCACCTTCTTGGACCATTTTAAGTGCTGGATGCTGAGTTATGTCTTGCTGCGTGTTTCTTCTGCCTCAGCTCTGCTCTGAGGCTGGGATAAATACGGATGGCAGGGCTGGAGGTTGCTTTTCAAGAGGGAGGAATGACGGGGGGAGCAGGGATTACTGCCCGCTCTGCACCTGCCCCTGGCTGAAAGGGGCATGCAGAGCAACCAGCAGCTGAGGCCGAGGCCCCACGGGCTGCCCGAATCAGCGGGGAGCTGCGGCCCCCCTGCCCCAAACGGCCCCCAAGCTGGAAAAGGAGGAAAAAAAAAATAGACGAATGTATCCACCTATGTGAGCTTATTTATTACCAGCGAGCGAGATTTCCTCTCGGAACTTGCATCTTGGACCTGCCCTAGGAGCCCGTGTAGCAAATGCAGATGGGAGCCGTCTCCCACTGCACGAAACGGGAGAAGTGCCGGGGGGCGGGAGCTCGCCCGGCTCCCATCCCTGCGGCTCCTTCGCGCTGCCTCCGGCGGTGGCAGAAACTGCTCTTCCTGCTCTTGTGACAGCCATCAGTAGGAACAGGGGGCACAGGGAGGCTTCAGAGCTGTCCTTCCTCCCCTGCCCTCCACTTGAGGCCGGACGGGGAGGGATGAGACCTGCGGAATGGCCCCAGCGAGAGCAGAACGCGCGCGAGTCACGGCCGTCCCGCGAGCCGGCAATGACCAGTGTCATTTAAATGAACGGCCTCTGCGCTCAAAAGCGTCCAGCCTCTCCTTCCCCCCGTTGCAGCTCCCACCCAGAGCCCCATGATTTATTCATCCGATGCTGCACTTACACATCTGTTCCGGGGCCATCGGCGTTTGGCAGAGCATTAGCTTTAAAATTTTATGAAACATCACGCAGGGGGCAGAATGTGGGGCTAGGGACCACGCTGGCAACAAAGCAAGGCCCTCATGGCCAAACCCTTCCGAGGCTCTGTTTGGCTGAAGAGGAGCAGTGCTCTGGGGGATCTAAGGCCTTCCAGGTCTGCAATTTTTTCCCCATTGCCCTGTATCTGAACAGAGCTGAGTTGCAGGCTGTGGTGGTCTCTCTGCTTTGGTGAGGGCTTAAGCAAGTGAGGAAAGACCCTTCTGCTCGCTTGTCCTCAGCCCTGTCCCAGAATGGACCCTTGCGCTTTTTAATGAAATACTCCATCCCAGCTGGAGAAACCAGGGCTCTGCTCGGCAGGACAGGAAAGCCCAGAGCTCTGTTGCCCTTTGGGGAGCAGCAGGCAGAGATGTCGTCTTCCTCTTGCCGCCTCCCCATGGAAGGTGAGGATGTAGCTGGTACCTGGAAGATAACAGGCCAGTGTGGATTTGCCAAGAAGAGATCACCCCAGACCTCCCAAATTGCTCCCCATTGCGACAACTGGCCACACGGATGATGAAGCAGCAGCTACCATGGTTTCATCTGACTTTAGAAATGCTGCAGGCCCGCTCTCATGTGATGTTTTTCGAAGGGAATAAGGGAACGTGGGCACCATACCGTCCCCATCCTTGACAATTTCCTCCTGGTAAGAGTTTCCCGAGAAGCCACGATCGGAGGGCTGGGAGGAGGTCCCAGAGGGATGTGCCCACTTCTTGTCACTGCTCCCTTTGCACCTTGTCTGGTCTGATCTGCCCAGGTCAGCACTAATCATAAGCTAGTGGAAATGCTCCGTTGCGTGCTCTGCCCAGCTAATTCAGCGAAAACGTGGCAATTTTTGACGTGGAGAAGCCCCAAAGCAGCAGCAAGGTGACCTCTCCAAGCCGGGGATGTGGCCCCCACAGCTGGTTGGGGCCAAGGACTGTGCGAAGTCCCGCTGTTCCCAAGTGTCTGGGGCCTCTGTTTCATGGTGTTTCCAGGTATTCCTGCAGAGCATCAAATAGCTCCTGAGGAGCCACTTCCCCTGCTGCTGCTCCTGGTAGCTGCCAAAATCCCGCAGCCGCCCGGAACC